AATCCTATGTGTGCTGACTTGTGAAGTTGTCTGAGTTTGAAGAAAGCACATCTTCAGAGATCTGCCACTTTTTTTCTATATGTGGTTAACAATACATTCATATACTTTTTATAAAAGGGGAAGTGGGGAACGTTTGATATATCTTTAATAGACCATTAAAATTTTTCTTATAGTCACGCATTAAAATACATGCTACTCTGAAGAAACAAAGATTCCATTTCTCTTAGTAAGGTTCCTGGATCTCAACTGTACAATGAGGGTGTTGGACTATCATTAAGGTCCCTTACAGAAAAGAAATCTAACTCTATAGTTTGAAGTTTCCTATGTTATACTATGCCCATGTTGAACTTAGGTCCTTGTGAATTTAGCTTTCAATCTCTACTAATTAGCGTTAGGTTATATATATTATCTTACTTTAAATTTTTCCTGGATTTTAAGTTTGTCATCCTAACTCAGTTCTTTAAAATGGATGGGCCATGATATTGCCTCACATTTCATTTGGTTCTTTTTCCACCTTTCTAGGGCTCTTAGTAGCCACCTGATAAATGTATAGTGATGGCTAAGAGCTTATAAGAGCTACATGTTTTTGTGGAAAGATCAATGTGAGTTATTTTTTACCTTTCCATAGGTATAGTATGACCTGTGATAAAGTGCTGATAACATGTGACTGTCCTCGTGGTTGCTATAAAAGATAATGACCTAGAACCCAAAAGACAAAGTATTATGGTGCAATGTCCAACTACACATTTGACATTATCATGAAAGTTACGATCTGCATGAATTTGTAGTTCTCAGAGACAACAGTTACTGGTTTCATCCTCTTGGACACTGCCATTGCTTTGAAAGTGAATTTATTAAAGATTGTTTTAACTCAGGCAAACTAAGTGAGAAAAAAGGTATATGTGCTTACATGTTATCTTAGCTATTAAAAATCATATTTTTCTAAATTGGTGTAATAGTTTTTAGAAGGATTCATAATATTTGTGTCCTAGTCTCATACAGTTGTCCAATTTTGCATAAAAGGGGTGGTGAGAGGGGATAGGATGGCAGTAGGAGTGGGGTTGGTGATACAGAAAAACCATCTATAGTCAAAATTACCCTTTACAAACCTGTAAGCTGCTCATTCATTAATTTATTCA